TCCAGGGGACGGGGATGGACATGACCCCATTTTGTATCCATTTTTGTAAGCCTCCCCCTTGACCTCCAAAGAGGTAAGAACAGCAGCTAGAGACCGCCTTAGTCAAATGGCCATAAAACAGGGGAAAAGGCATTTTCTCTCCCCGTAAAGCAGCACAGCTTAGTGGGATATAAGGTTGAAATGTCTTCAGTCAGCTTTGGAAATGGGGTGAGGGCACCTTATTCGCCCGTGACCCCGTTGAAGGATGACGTGCCCGTGTGTAACATCCTTCTGGAGTTTTACACGTTCCCATCACAGCAGCTGGGACTGCGTCCCTTTCCCCACCCGCAGTCTGAGAATGCAGACGCACAGATGAATGAAGCTATTTGTTCTAGGGATGACCTTAAATCTGCTCTTCTTTGCTTTTATAAAAGTAAAACTTTGAAATTGCGAAGAACGGTCATGGCAACAGTGTCTGCCGTATGTCTCACACTCCAGTCCCGGTTGCCCTGGGGTAGGAAGCAGGCGGTCACCCTGCACCCGCAGCCTGGTGTGTGCAGGAGGCGGGGAGCAGAGCTTCATCCGCAAGGAGCTCAGCAAGCACTTCTGGCTCCTGACCGGGGTCCCCAGAAGAGGCGGAAGCCACCGGGTTCATGTCCTGAAACAATGATCCTGAGGTTAAGTGTGAGAGCTGGACACATGCTTAGGGTATATATTCCCTCCGGGCTGCGGGCCGTAAGGCCTCTGTCAGCCTCACCTCAGCAGCTCCTCATAGCGAAATAACACCTAGACGGAGTAAGTAACTAAGAGAAAAAGAGGTGAACTATTTCTTATTGATAGGTGTTTTGCATTTTTTGAAGCACGGAAGGAATGGGATATTCTGCGTTGCCTGGAGTCATAAAGATTCCAAACGAATAGCGACCTGCAGCGGAGATGGTCTCTGGTGAGTGCTGTGTGCGGCTGTCACGTCCACAGAGATGCCTGGGGCCTGCCAGTGTGTCCGGCAGCTCCTCCCTGAACATCCTGATGCGGTTCCATTTGTGCACACCTGTCGTCAATATTATGTAGACGTCCACACAGGCATCTGCTGTATCGCTATGATGCATCAGTAATAAATAACGATGAGGTGATGTTCAAAAATAAATAAAAAGAGCCTGGCCGGTGTGGCTCCATGGTTGAGCATCGACCTATGGACCAGGAGGTCACAGTTCGATTCCCAGTCAGGGCCCATGCCCGGGTTGCGGGCTGGATGCCCACTGTGGGGTGTGCAGGAGGCAGCCGGTCCATGATTCTCTCTCATCATTGATGTTTCTCTCTCTCTCCCTTCCTCTCTGAAGTCAATTAAAAAACCCACTGTGGGTGTGCAGGAGGCAGCCGGTCCATGATTCTCTCTCATCATTGATGTTTCTCTCTCTCTCCCTTCCTCTCTGAAGTCAATTAAAAAAAAATTAGCAATAAATAAATAATAAAAAGGAGCCAGTCATGGCTGCAAAGTGACAGCACTACCCGAGTAATAATTACAAGAGTGAATGGCCTCCAAGAGGCTTGAAGGACTTTTCACAAAGAGTCTAGATGTTTCTCCTCCGATTTTGGAGGGAGTGGTGGGTCAGTGTTACAGCAACTCGGGAGCTATCATGTGCTCTAGAAACGTCTTCACAGTTGGGGAGGTGCCATTATTTAGAAAAGGAATTCATGTGGGAAATGCCTTTTTATAGAAGCTCAGTTCTCTGACCCCGTGTCTCAGAAATACATGCTTTCTCAGTTCTGTTAAGTCCTAGGGGAAGGTAGGTTTCCAAAATATACCGTGCAAGGGAGAAATTGCCTTGGGGCTGAATAACGTTTTAATCTGGTGATGCCCCCTCAGCTGCAGGGGTTGCTGTCTCTGACGGTGATACAGACACTCATGGTCGCTGGAGTAGAGTCATTTGTCCCGTCTTCGGTTTTGCTGTAAAGGCACCACTGTTCTTATTCTCACTTTTTAATTTCAGTGGGAAAGACAGTACTTATGGAAACTAAAGTTCTTTACCAGGATATTAAAATTTTCGGAAATAACAATATTAGTGATACTTCCCATGAAATAACTATTTGCAAATTGATACAGACCAAAATACGAAAAATGTGCCCACGTGTTTTTTGGTTGGGTGACACATGTCCGTTCAGGGCTGTATTTATTTGATGACTGAACACAGTCGGTGAGTAAACACTTACACGCACGGTCACCACACTACCCAGTACCCTCAGAAGTTCTGGGGGACCTAACAGTGTCTTAGAGGGTCTGTTCCAAAAACTTTAAAACCTGTAATACATTAGTTTATACAGAACTTACTTTTTTCTTTCTAAAGGAATCAGTAGCCCTTGCATTATGGTGTCATGTATATGGTATTGCAGTTAAAGTATACAGGATCCTTTTAGGGAAAAGGGGTCCTTCAAAATTTCTACTTATATCACTTAGAACACGCAGAGAAATATGACAACAGGTACATCTTGGACTTGGTGTGATAGTACATGTGACCAGCATTAGAAATGAGTTATTTTAAATATAAATTTTGAAGCCGAATACCTAAGACGTATGTTAGTTACATCATTATGGTTTAAAATATATGCGTAACTTGTGCTTTTCCTCAGTAAAAAAATTCTATAAGAAGTCGTTTCTAAATAAAAATGTATCCCCTTTACGGGGTATAAGTAGGTTACCATAATCAGTAATATGTGATGCAGATAACATTTACCCAGCCCCTTCGAATGTGCCCAGTGCCGTGCAGCCAAGGTCCCTGTCCTAACGCACCTGGGCCTGACGTACGCAATCCTTCGTCCCCTTGAACGGAGCGTCTGCAGTGTGTGTTTCCTGCTGACACCCTGCACTCGGTTACAGTATCATCCGAACCCTCGATGGGAGAGTGCTGCACAAGTACAAGCACCCCGCTGCCGTGTTTGGCTGTGATTGGAGCCAAAACAACAAGTGAGTATTTTCCCCCGAAATCAGTGAGAATCACACTTCTGAGATTTCAGATAACCACAAAGATTAATGTCACCCCAGAGGGAATACTCCTCACGCCTTAGGCAACATTCCCCTTGCCTAGCCTTGGCATTGCTTTTTGGGTCCGGGTGTCTTCTTATCTCATGATTTGTCTTTATATGATTTAGAAACATCAATTCCCTGCTTTTGAAACAACTTTCTGATGCGTTAGGGTAAAGCGTGTGGCTGACTAATGAAACATATAAAAATCCGTCCCATTTAGAGGATGGCCCCCAAAAATATATACACACACTTTGAATAATTTAAAGGCAGTGTTTATTAAAATGCATGTCATTTTCAAAATTGAGCTATCAACTCTCAAAGTGATACCTTCCTGTAGCTCTGTGTTCTTAGCCAAACACTGTGTTCAATACACAGATTCCCTTGTGTCTGACCAACATAACTGTTCCACACTCTCATTTCTCAGTTTCGTAGGTTTAATGGGCATTTGACAGTTGAAATTAAAACTAGTGATTAGTGCAATATGCTTTGTTGGCTAAGAAAGCTTTTCTTTTCAAAAAGTCCTTCATACTTAACTGTTATGCTCACTACCAAGCCTGCCTAATAAATTTCATTTTTAAAGATCTTCTTAAAATGTTCCAATTGCTATATTCATGTTCTACTTAGCATGTTAGGAGATAAGTGAGAAACACCTTGAATTTATAAAAGTTTATTCATAAGGTATTGCTGAATATTAATTTTGATGCCTGTATGTACACTCTTTGAATGTTTATTATTTCATTTCTAAGATTTTATACTTACGTATCTGTGTGTGTGTGTGTATATATATATATATATATATTCATTTATACATATAAATATTTGTATTATGCAAATGATATTGAAACCAGCCCATGTATCAGTGGGCTTGGGCAGATGTAACCTGCACATTTACAGATCAGCATGCCCGTTTGAAAACTGGTGTATTTCTTCACATAGGACTATATAAGTACAGTTGTTATAACCCCTGTGACAACGGTCAGCTACCTGCAGTTCGAGGCCTGTGCCCTGTGATGTGGGCTCTTGGTCTCTAGGGTGTGGGAACTGCTTATGGTGGGCAATGGCCCTTAGGGGGGGCTGTTCTGATGAGCCCAGGATCCCACCGTCTGCCCAAGACTCAGACTCCCTTTGGAAACAGTATCCCAAGCATGACCACTGGGCATAAGCAGTTGCTTAGCTCACTCTCACGCTCTTGAGAATGTGGAACGAGATCATTTAAAGATCAAATCCACATATTCTAGTAGGTCCTTAGTTGCCTCCAGCAGTTAGAGCATCTCAAGCTCAAAAGAGAATCGGCAGATGGGCTGTGACTCACCGTAGATGGACAGCCCTGGTTTGGGGACGATCCCAGCGGGCCTCCCCAGGGGACTACTGCTTGACCCAGGCCACCGCAGAATCGACCAGAGGGCCGGGAGGGTGTCATTAACAATCTGCTTACCCGCAAGCAAGCACATCTCCATCACTCACCATTGGGGACCCGTCCTGAGACCCAGTAGTTCTGAGAAATAGTCAAGAAGTTCTCAATCTGGACATTTTGAAAAAGAACACATCGAAATATAAATACCGTTATCTCAGATCTAAGATGAATAAAATAAAAATGTAACTGGTTAAAGGGGAACAGTAAGAGAGAGGGCAGTTTCTGCAAATTATGTTTTTACTTTATGTAAGATTTTAGTCACACTCCACTACGGAAGCAAACACTTCTACTGTTAGAAGTGAGAACTGTGTACGTTTTAAAGTTATCGGCAACAAGCAACATCACATCTTTCATACTTTCCTCTTTCCATGGGCCACCGATGGCCTTTCAGAGACATGATAGCCACTGGCTGTGAAGACAGAGGCGTCCGCGTCTACTACGCGGCCACCAGCTCGGACCAGCCGCTGAAGGTGTTCAGTGGGCACACGGCCAAGGTGTTCCACGTGCGCTGGTCGCCCCTGAGGGAGGGCATCCTCTGCAGCGGCTCTGATGACGGGTACGTGGCTTTGGGTCCGAATTTCCTAGTCCATCTGTGTGATCCAACTGGTGGGGAAATATGTTAAATGTGCACTTAACATGTGGGCAGTTAACAAGTACCTAACTGCATTCAACCAAAGGTAAATTAAATGTTGCTGTGCTTATATTATCATCAGCCATGATTTCTGTTTTCTTACTTATTTTACTTCACTGTGGATGCTTGTTTCTATCTTACCAGTAACAATGTTAATAGGAACAGAAATGTTAAAAGGATCTGTTGGGAAAGGGTAAACGATCGGAAACAAATAAGTCTGTAAAACACAGAGGAGAGTTCATTTCAGCGTTGTTCACATATCGTGGAAAACAAGGGACTGTTTTCATTGAGAAGGGATAAAAGGAGAGGGATGTATATCTTGGCATGAAGAAAAGAGCTGTAACGGGAGTGATTTAACATTTTGGGGCATTGTGGACGTTTCTGAAATCTTGTCTGTATTTTATGTTCAAACAAGACTGTTTTGCATAATACAGTTTGGTCACTATTGAAAAGGAGATACATTTAAGTAAGGATGCTCTTCATGCAAGTAAAAGTCATAGTATACAGTAACCTCAGGTCTAATATTGAAAATGAAATATTTTATTCTTGAAATTTTGGAATCAATCCAAATTTAATAATAACAATAATTGTGGGGTTTCTGTGAGTTATCACCAGTCTCTTAATAAGGACTCTAGTCTAAATTATATAACACGTGAGAAAAAGTATAATCTTCAAATGTCTAAGCAATATTTGTCAGAAAGACAGCAGTAAGCATGTAACTGACTTATGGTTTTGAAAGTTGAAAGACTGTACTGAATTCTGGTTATCAGTCCTCCTAGTAGTCATACAGGTGATGGTTGTACCTAACACGCTACCTAGCACCTTTACATAAAAGTCAGAATTGTTGGGAAATCATTAATTGCCAGTGTCCTTATTCCAGAATTCACAGGTACTGTGCTTCAACCTGGAAGCCCCTCTCCTTATGTACAGGGGCCACAAACATGCTTTTCTTATGTTCAAAAAAAAAAAAATACACATTAGGACTTCAATGCCTGATGTCTGCCTAATCTCACTGATGTCCTAAAAGCAAGGAAACCTGTTCTAGTGCCCTCTATGGTAACTATAAAGTATTTTGAAACCAATCACTTTAATATAGTCTTACAGCTCTAGCCAGTTTGGCTCAGTGGATAGAGCATTGGCCTGCGGACTGAAGGGTCCCGGGTTCGATTCCAGTCAAGGGCACATCCCCAGGTGTGGGCTCAATCCTCAGTAGTGGGTATTCAGGAGGCAGCTGAGCAATGATTCTCTCTCATCCTTGATGTTTTCTGTCTCTCCCTCCTTCTCTGAAATCAATAAAAATATGTTTTAAAAAATTAATATAGTCTTATCTATGAAGGTGTGATATCAAACAAAATAATTTAAATATATATAAGAAATCAGCACCCAATAGTAGATTTTGATACACCTGGATACACTGTGCTGTCCTAGGATAAGGGGGAAAGAAGAAGTATTTTTATAGAAAGCAGAATAGATATGCCGTAAAGAAATACAAATATATATAATGTGTCTCCTTTGTAGTGTAATGTAATATTTGAAGTATCAATAGTTTGGTATCAGCAGATTGATATAAATCTGTGACTAAAAAATTAGTATGAATTGTCTAAGCAGAGTTGACATTTGGGGGAATCTTAGGTTGATTTTTAGTTCAAATTTTATTTTAGTAACAATTGTACTTTGTTTAATCAGTAGATTCAAGTCATATCCTGAATCCAGTTATATTTAAATTTTGTAATGATCTGAGTGTGATTCCACACTGAATAAGCAACTTATTATGATGCCTGATATAATCATAAATTTGAATTGATTTTTCAGGTAATATCCATTGCCATATATACAGTATTTTCATGATTTACAAAAAATTTAAGTGTTCTTAAATTGTCGTATCCATGTTATTACTCATATTTTTCTTTGGTTTTATCGGTTCTGGGTATTTCATTTTAAGAAATAAATTCTTTAAGCATATAAACTGTGAAATAGTACATTTAGTATCATTAGCAAATGACCAGTAAAAGTCAGGAGAAAAAATACTCTGTATTGCAGTATGCTAACTCTAGCCTAATCATTCATTTCCAACTTTTATGAAGAAGAGATTCTTAGCATATCTTGAAACATAAAATGCTTTTTTAATACACTGAGAAGTAATCATTGTGCTCCAATAAGAATACGTTAATATTTTAGGTAACTGATAACTCCAATGGTATTAGACCCATAATGTTCTGTTCCAGTTCTGTCCGCATCTGGGATTATACTCAAGATGCCTGCATCAGTGTTCTCAGTGGGCACTCCGGCCCCGTGCGGGGGCTGGTGTGGAACCCGGAGATCCCGTACCTCCTCGTCTCCGGCAGCTGGGACTACACGGTGAGGGTGTGGGACACTCGAGAGGGGACGTGCCTGGACACCGTGTACGATCATGGCGCAGATGTGTATGGTAAAGTGCTCCTCATGCTTTTACACTGTGCCCTCTTCATGGTGACTCTCGTTTCTGAGCAGTATGGTGTTTTTAAGACGTTTTACATTGTTTCATTTTAAAACAACATTCTCATTAGAAACCAGACAGACAATAAAAGCATCATCAGAAATTTGCAGAATATAACTTTTGTTTACATTGTGGTGTCTTTACCTGCAGGTGTACTTGTGTTTACACACACACACACACACACACACACACACACACACACCCATGCACATATTTGCATGTATGGCTTGGATTTTTCTTCCTCTCTTACCATCAGTCCAGGGGTAAGTTATAAAGCAGGAAATCAGTAATGAAGTAGATGTAATTTATTCAGCTATTCCTCTACCGCCAGGATATGTAGAGTGGTGTTTTGTTTTTTAATATCATTGAGTTGGGTATGGAAAATCAGATATCTTTTGCACATCTTTACTCTCATTTGCAGCACCAACACCTTAATGGGCCTAAGTAGGTCAATTACGATGGCAAAAATGATTCCTGGAAGAAAGTAACCCTAATCCAGCCATGTGTGTCCATGTGCTTCAGCCCAATGGCCTTTTAATTGAGGCAGCGGAGGACTGAGCGTGAGAGAGAATTGCACTTCTGGACATTTTAAATCAAAAGGGCCTCCTTACTTGTAGCTAGAACTTCCATGGAGTCACAGATGGCTGTGTGCTGCATTGGTATTAATAAACTGAGATATAATTTCAACATTTTCATCCAGGGCCGCTTGCTTTCCCATAACTATTCCATTTATAAAGGGTGTCCCAAAATTCACGCAAGATTTGAATTTTGCGTGAACATTAACAACAACAAAAAATAAAAGCCTAATTTTACTTGGTTTATTGAATCAGATTCTAATATCTGTTGCCCTTTGATTTCAATCCCTTCAATTTGATAAGCATTACCAAGTACCAATTATGGATCTGGAGCAGGGACAATGAAGACCAATGAAGACCACGGCTTTGCGTATGTGCCAGCAAAGCCATGGAGGCCATTTACCCAATGTCCTATTCCATACATAACCCTATACTGTATACTTTATGAATCAATAAGAAATTTACAATTTTTAATTATAAACCTGTGTTTTCTATCAAAATTACTTCTTGCGTGAATTTTGGGACACCCTTTAGCCATTATTCATGGGAATGTGCTAAGTAAGTTATTCCATTCTTACAGTATTTTCAGTCAAGATAGAAACATTTCTTCAAAACTCCAATCCTGTATGCGTTCGCTGAGGTCCATGTAGATAAAAAATATTTCCAATGTTGACTCCAGTTAACACCGTTTCTTCTTCCTTCAGGTTTAACGTGCCATCCGAGCCGCCCCTTCACCATGGCCTCCTGCTCCCGGGACTCCACCGTGAGGCTGTGGTCATTGGCACCTTTAATCACCCCTTTACAGATTAGCATCCTGGCGGACAGACCATGGAAGGAAATTATCGGGAACACTGGTACTGACACTATGCATGTGTCAGCTTTTTATTTTTACTTATTTATTTATTTATATATTTACTTTTAAGTGTCTTTTTATTGATTTCAGAGAAGGGAGAGGGAGAGAGAGAGAGAGAAACATCAATGATGCGAATCATTGATAGGCTGCCTCCTGCATGCCCCCTACCGGGGATGGAGCCTACAACCGGGGCATGGGCCCAGTCTGGGAATGGAACTGCGACCTCCTGGTTCATAGGTCGACACTCAGCCACTGAGCCACACCGGTCGGGCCAGATTTTTATTTTTAACTCAAATTTCCCGACAGCCTTTCCTCACTGAGTGATGTCTGTTCTCCAGATGACGCCATCCTGCGAGGCGCGCCCCCTGTGCTGTGCGGCAAAGTGTCGAGGGACATTAAACAGGAAATAGAGAAGCTGGGCGGACACCCGCGGGGGAAGAAGCTCAGGTGGTTTTCGGAGTGTTTGTCCGTGAGTATGACAGGGATGAGGTGTGAGCATTTCCCTTTGCCCCAAAATGGATCGTCACAGCCGTGGTCACGAAGTCATCACATGTTTACACGTGTCATGGGTTCCCTGCGTCCCTCTGAACATGCCTGCACAGTGTAAGGAAGCCGGTGAAGCCGGAAGCAGGCGATGGGAGGCGCGTGGCCGTTCCCTTGTTAATGCTCAGTTTCGATGTGCCTGCCTTGCGTGTGTGAAGGTGCAGCGTGCTGCGGGGTTTCTCTCTCCCGAGCACATCTCTGGCTGTTGACTCTGCATCCACTGTTAGCCTCCAGGTGGCAGTGACAACCTGTGGAACTTGGTGGCCGTGATCAAAGGGCAGGATGACAGCTTGCTTCCTCAGAACTACTGCAAAGGCATCATGCACCTGAAGCACCTGCTGAAGTTCCGCATGGTGAGTGCAGTGGCACACAGGAGGGCTCTGGCAGAAAGGAGTTGTGCGTTCTCGCTGTCCTATATAATAAAACCCTAACGTGCAAATCGACCAAACGGCGGAATGACTGGTCGCTATGACGCACACTCACCACCAGGGGGCAGACGCTCAATGCAGGAGCTGCCCCCTGATGGTCAGTGTGCTCCCACAGGGGGAGCACCGCTCAGCCGGAAGCCGGGCTCATGGCTGGCGAGCACTAAGGACCCCTTGGGGGATAGCCAGCAGTCAGACATCCCCCGAGGGATCCCGGACTGTGAGAGGGCACAGGCCTGGCTGAGGGACTCCTCTCCCCCGGTGCACAAATGTTGTGCACCGGGCCTCTAGTTAAAACATAAAGATTATTTTAAAATTTTATATAATTAGAGTTAGTTGACTGAAATATGTGAATGTTGAGGAGATAAATCTTCAGTAAAACCAAGCATGAGAGTCTGACCCTGAGAGCAGGAATTTCCTGAGAACCGAGGAGGCAGCCATAGTTTCTTAAGTCAAACTTCGTGAAATCCCAAAGATCACCTGGACCTGCTTGCAATGCTTCCCATTTACCCTGCAACCAGGTGACGGGGATGCGGGGGCCACGCTGGGTCTGGTCTCAGGGGCCTGAAAGGCTGTCTTCTGAGCTATGTCTTATTAAACTGGTCGTAGTGAATTGTAATGCAGAAGCATTAGTTATCTCACACCTGGGTGATCTGCAGTGCCCACCACACACCAGGCTTGGGCCCGGAAAGAGAAGTAGCTCTTAGGTTTGCAGTGAAATGTCCGCAGGGAACTTACCCGTCAGCAGGGAGGGAATTGTGCACAGCTAGACGCGTCTGACTACCACAGTTTCCTGGTGGCTATACAGGAGCCAGTTCGAGGAAGCCAGTAATTTAATGTCTGTCAGCGGCCATCTTATGCCTCTTCATCACGGCTGTCTCTCCCTCACTGCCTCCGGCCCTGGGGCCTCTGTGTCGCCATAACCCCAGGAGCTTTAGGGACAGTGGGAGTTCGCCTCTGCCACCCACCCCAGGCCCCAGGCTCCATCCCCACCCGCACTGTGAGCCAGGCTGCCTCCTTTAGAGGGAAGTGTGGTTCTCAGTGCCTGCTTCCCAGTGCCTGCTTCCCAGTGTCGATGCTGTGAAGCCGCGTGTCCACAGAGCGCTCTGGGGGCAGGTGCATCCCCAGCGCTTGTGTCACACAGTTCAGGAGAAGGGTCTTTTCTTCGCCACAGTCTGAAGCTCAGGAGCTGACCACAGTCAAGATGTCCAAGTTCGGAGGGGGCATCGGCGCGCCGACCATGGAGGAGAGGCTGAAGGAGGCCGCGGACATACACCTGAGGCTCGGGCAGATCCAGCGCTACTGCGAGCTCATGGTGGAGCTCGGCGAGGTGAGGGGCCGTCGGAGCGACATGCACGAGTTTAGTAGCGAAGTCGGTCTTGGTTAGTTAGGGGCTGTGAAGCTGACCTTTCTCCGGATCTCGCTGGTCCTCGGTCCCTCAAGTGTGTGCCATCACAGGGGGTCCTGGGCTCAGGGACCTGCTAGACACGCATTTCCCACCCCAGGCCGCAGTCAGAAACCCTGGGTGGGAGCCAGGCACCTGAGCTTTTGTTTTGTTTAATATATTTTTATTGAGGGAGAGAGAGAGAGAAACATCAGTGATGAGAGAGGTCATTGATTGGCTGCCTCCTGCACGCCCCACAACGGGGATCAAGCCTGCAACCCAGGCATGTGTCTTCTGGGATGAGAATCTTGACCTCCTGGTTCATAGATGGACACTCAACCACTGAGCCACGCCCGCCGGGCTGATCCGAGCTTTTATAGGCCCTCCCGGTGCCTCTCGAGCAGGAGGAAGTCTGAGAACCACTGCCCGAGGCTGGACTCTGATTCCCGAAGAAGCATCTCCGTTGGCTAACTTGCCCCGTGGGTTCCCTCACGCGTACTGTGTGTCATAACTAAGTCCCGCACTGGCCAGACGTGCCCACTGAGGGTCATCTGATGGCACAGCCTGATTCTTAAAGAGGACTGAGCTCAGCAGTTCCCATGAGAGGTTCGGATGAAGCTGCCCTGGTAAAATCCTGCACAAGGGCCTACACTGGAAGGTGGGCGGGGACTGGCAGAGCAAAAGGGGGCGGCCTCTGTTCCTTGACCCGGGGGCTGGTTACATGAGTGTAGCCAGGGTGGAAACGTACTGAGCTTTTCATTTTCCTACGTGTGTATTTACTCCAACAAAATTCCCCCACCCCACCAAAAAACAAAAACAAAAAACTAAGATGACGTGGACTCGTTTCATACTTGATCATTTTTCTAAATGTCTAAGTTAGTTAATTTCATAATTATCATGATGACGACATACAAGTAAGGATACTTATCAATAATATAAAGCTAAGCAATAGTTTTAATAAAATATGTCAAGATGAAGTTTAATGCACCTTTTAATTGCTTCATACTCTAGAGACAATTACTTCCTGACCTTAAATAATAAAATGTGTCATTTAAAAGCATTGTTGAAAGGCGCTGCAAATTAAAAAGTGTTTAATCTAGGAGCAGTGTAAAAGTTTTACTTATGAAGAAGTAAAGATATGACGTAAAAGTTACTTTTTTAACAGGGCACTACTAGAAAGAATAGTACCTATCAAAAGCCAAAGAGAAATACATTTTGATAGAACAGTATAATTCTTTATCTTTATGAATTTTTTATTTTGGCATATCTAATTTTAAACTATTTAATTCAAATTTAATTAAAGATCCTTTACTCAGGTGCAGTTTTATCAAAGGACGAATGATTTCCAGAAACTGTGCTTAAAATCCTTTAGAAATATGGGTGTCCTTACAATTGTTCATCATCACCTCCTTACAGATGGCTTATTCCTGCAAGGCTAGTACTATGAGGTTAGAGCAGCAGTTTTCAACCTGTGGGTCGCGACCCCTTTGGGGGTCGAACGACCCTTTCACAGGGGTTGCCTAAGACCATTGGAAAACACATATATAATTGCATATTGTTTTTGTGATTAATCACTATGCTTTAATTATGTCCAATTTGTAACAATGAAATTGGGGGTCACCACAACCTAAGGAACTATATTAAAGGGTCACGGCATTAGGAAGGTTGAGAACCACTGGGTTAGAGAAACATTTAATCTTTTCACTTACAAGACCTGTTTTTATTGAAAGAGCTTGGTGACATTAATTTAATCTACATTTCAATTTCTTTTTTCCATTTCTTCCTACTATAGTATAGTTAAATTTCCCTTTAAAACTTATTTAGATTCCCTTCCTTAAGTAACATGATTATAAATTATATAATATTTAAAATTACCTGATTAAATTTTAACATTAATTGTAGGCTAATTACCAATTTTATAGCCTTAATTGCAGTAGAGCTCTGTTTTGAAAAGCCTTCATTAAAACGAAGTTTTGCACCCTGTCTGGTGGCTCCGTTGGTTGGAGTATCATCCCGTACACGGGAAAGGTCGTGAGTTAGATTCCCAGTCAAGGCACATACCTAGGTTGTTGTGCACGTACCTCAGAGGCAACTGATCAATGTTTCTCTCTCACATTGATGTTTCTCTTCCTCTCCCTCCCTCTCTCTCTAAAAATCAATTTAAAAAACATATCCTTGGGTGAGGATTAAAAAATGTTTTAAATAAAGTGAAGTTTTGATTTATGTAGTGATCTTTCAGAATATTTTCCCCTCACTTCCCTTCCAGACTTGAATGTAAACTCCATATTTTTTTTTCTTTTTATTGATTTCAGAGAGGAAGGGAGAGGGAGAGAGAGAGAGGTAGAAACATCAATGATGAGAAAGAATCATTGAAAGGCTGACTCCTGCACACCCCCTACTGGAGATCGAGCCTGCAACCCAGGCATGTGCCCTTGACCAGAATCGAACCTGGGACCCTTCAGTCCGCAGGCCGACACTCTATCCGCTGAGCCAAACCATCCAGGGCTGAACTCCATATTTTTAAATCACAGTCACAGTCAGCCTTGGTTGAGCAATGAGCTTCTTTATTAGTAGCCTAATATTTCAAATATGAAGATTGGTGTTACCAACTGTAAAGGAAGAATTTACAATAAATATAATTTATAAAAATGAGTAAGGAAAGAATAGAAATAGATATATTTGTTAAACATAACAGTGAAATAAAATCTCAGTACAAATTATTTTGAACGTAGAACATAGAATACCACAGAAAAATTACTCTGGTGTTGTGTTGGATGATGAGTTAATATATTTTTCAAACTAAAAACTCTAGTTACTATCCCTCCCCCACCATCACCTTCTTTCTCTCTTCCCCTCTTCCTAGCTCTTGTCTCTCTGTATAATACTAGTTTGGGATTTTCCCTGCTAAATAATACAATTTACATATCATTTCATTTTAAAACTAGAGGCCTGATGCACAAAATTCGTGCAAGGGGCTTGGCCCTCGCAACTGCAGCAGCTTGCCTTGGCCCTCGCAGCCCTGGCTTCGTCTGGAAGGTCATCCGGAAGGACATCCGGAAGGTCATTTGGCTGTCTGGTCTAATTAGCATATTAAGCTTTTATTATTATAGACTAGAGGCCTGATGCATGAAAATCATGCAAGAGAAGACCTTCCTTTCCCTGGCTGCCGGCACCGGCTTCCCTCTGGCACCCGGGACCCAGGCTTCCCTCGCAGCCTGCTTCATTGGGAAGGTCGTCCGGAAGGACGTCTGGAGGGACGTCTGGTCTAATTAGCACATTAGGCTTTTATTATTTAGGATATAGTAATATTTATACTCTGTGGGATGAATGAGATAGAATAGAAAAGTAATCCTGGGAATGCTCACACTCTAAATACACTCTAAAATCTTGTTTCATAAATCTGAGTTCATTAAAGAACAAGTCTGCCGGGTGTGAGACTGTGCGTCAGAACGCTGTGTTTCTGCTCTTCTCTCTCTGCTGCAGTGGGACAAAGCCTTGTCCGTGGCACCAGGCGTCTCGGTGAAGTACTGGAGGAAGTTAACGCAGAGGTAAGGCCGTCTGTATCCCAGAGCCCTTCCAAATATGTTAGCGTAGGAACAACAGGTGAAGAGGACGGCAGCTTTTGAGATTTCTACTTTACGTTCTTTTAAATAATAACTGAATTTCATGTCTTCTGACACAATAAACTAATTGGTTACAAGTCATTTTGCTGCTCTTATGTTTGACCTGACATCTGATAAAGTAATTGGAAGGCCAATTTCCCATGTCAGTGGATGAAATGACAGGTCCATAAACATGCTCACTGGTGACTGTGTTGCTATTGAAAGGTAAGTGCTGAGATTTTCTGAAGGTTCCCAGATGTTTGTGGAATACTTCCTCTGTAATCTCAGAAACTCTCTCAGCAGACACTCATCCCCGCCTTTTCCTCTCCAGGGATCTTAGGGAGGAGCAGGTGGTCAAGGAGAGTGTCAACACCAAGCAAGCTTAACTAGGTGTCCTTGCTTACGAATGTCATAAACAAGATTTCTTTCTAAGATGTATTCGCTTTCTAGGGCTGCCATAACAACGCACCACAAGCGAGGTGGTTTGGAACAACGGAAATGTATTCCGTCCCAGTTCCGGAGCCAGAGGTCTGATATCAGGTCATTGGCAGGGGTGGTTCCTGCGGAGTGCTCTGAGAAAGAATCAGATCCACGCCTCCTCCCAGCACCTGGTGGTGGCCAGCAGTCCTTGGCTTGCAGACACATCACTCCAACCTCTGCCTGTCTTCACGTGGCATTGTTCCTGTGTGTCCCTGTGCCCAAATTCCCCTCTTGTTATAAGGACATGACCCGTATCATATTTAGGGTCTGTCTTCACCCCTGACCCACTATATCCCTATCGTAATTAATTACATTGACACCCTATTTCCAAATAAGGTAACGTTCACAGATACCATGGGTCAGAATGTCAACATATCTTTTTGGGGGACACATTTTAACTTACAACATAAGACTATTCTCTATTCATTCATTCATTCATTCATTCATTCGTTCAACAAATATTTATTTAGTGCTTATTATGTGTTAATCACTGAGCTAGGCCTATAGAATACTGTTTAATGAGTATTTACTTTATATCTAGCATTAAAAATAAAAACTTTTCATTTTTATTTCATGGTACATGATTTGTAATAAAATTGAATTGCACCTCACATTTACCATTAAAAATCAATCAGTGAAGCCTGGAGCACCACGGGAGTAACGCATTGGCCATGGAGGCAGGGTCCCCAGCACCTGCTCTCCCAGCTGTGAGCTTAGCAGCAGGCAGCCCCGCCCTCCGCTGGAGGTTCCCTCCCCTAAGGTCCAAGATCCAAGGAATTCTTGGGTCCTCCCTACGGTCCTGAGTGCTACTCCTCCCACTCAAGCCTTAGGAGGTCAAGTTAGCTGAGGACGTTTATTCCTCAAAACAGTTTTGTCTTAACCTCAGCAAAAGCTCTTTTTCATTTATCTTTGAAAACTGACACCAGATTTTCCCTGCACCATGGTTCACATGGTGGCCGGGAAATGATCTCTCTCCCCAAGGCTCCCAAGTTTACATTCTATAGACGCAGCCATTGAGTTTGATTGGTGGTCTCTTCCTAGTTCCGAATGCCAAGGGGGAGAATACTGTTTCTAATCAGCTGTAACAAGGGAGTCAGGGTCACGTGGTATCAAGAGAGCTGTTGGGAGGGACCCCAATGACCCTGTACATTGGGGATGGTGGAAGGTGAGCTGGAAAAACAACATAAAATGCATCTACTGCCCCTGCTCAGAGATTGGCCATTGAAATGCAATTTAGTACAAATGCCAACGCAAATTAGATAAACCAGATTTGCGCTCAACAAAGCAGGTTAAACACTAAGAGTGGAAGGAACTAGCTGGCCTTTGGGAAAGTACCTGGGACGACGGTAGGGAAAGAGAAGCAGAGACAGACAGACGTGGATACAATAGAGACAGAGACACCCACAGGTACCCTTCGTAATCTTCGGCGTCAGGATCCCCCACCCCCTTCACCTGTCTGGAACATTCCTGGGTCACTTACAATACCCCACCTTTCATTATCAATATTTATGTTCTTGCATCATTCTTTTTAATGATTTTTAAGCAAGTGGCATTTAGAAGCTCTCTATTCATCATTGTGTTCACTGTACCATTTAAAATTCTCTTTAACAAAGCAGACACCCACACATTTGTTAATCCAGTCGAGAGCAGATCTGCCATGGCACCATATGTAGTCTATCTAGTTGACCTTCAGAAGAATATATTGCTCATGTAAATAGATAAGCTGCACTAATTTTAAGGCCTGGCCTGGTCAGTACATTTAAAATATGAATATATGTAATGGTCTAAGGGAAAATAAGTACCTATAGTATCTATTATTTCAGAAAACTTTTGTCTTCTGTTTATGATTTGATCGTAAAATCTGTCTTTTAAAAAAAAGTGATATGCAAAAAAGCTTTTATGAAATCTTCCTCGAAGTTTAGATATTTCAGAAAAGCTCAGTCCACCCGAGAACCTTGAAATGACTGTGTTGTAAAAAGAGAAATTATTCTCATTTCATTAGGAGAGCCGACCAGCTAATCCAGGAAGATAAGGATGACGCCATCCCTTACTGCATCGCCATTGGGGATGTGAGAAAACTGGTCCACTTTTTTATGGCCCGGGGTCAGCTTAAAGAAGCTCTGCTTGTGGCCCAGGTACAGGTGCAGAGTCACACACTTCGAACATCAGAGGGCGGGTGTGGAAGGGAGAGGGTCCTGTTGACTGATCGCCGTCTTGACAGAGTCAGAGAAGGCCAGGGTCTGTGCCGTGGTCACACTGACCTCGTTTTAGGTCCTCACATACTCTGAACTCGGAGCCTTTGTTCGCTGCTGAACGTTGCATGAGCTCGACCAGCTTTTCCTGGTAACCGAGCACTGAAGCTTCATGTTCATACAATGGAGTTCACCTGTTTTTTGTTTTTGTGTTTTTTTTTTCAAATTCTAAGGTGGCTCCAAATTATGCTATAAATTTCAAACATGACTTAGACATCCTTTGTTCAAAATACTAGTCTGAAATGTGTCACTTACCAACAGTGAGCTAAAGATTAATTCAAGTAATGGTGTGTGCCCTAGCCGGTGGTGAGAGCATCGGCCCTGGGACTGAGGGTCATGGGTTCCATTCTGGTCAAGGGCACAGACCGCGGTTGCAGGCTGGACCCCTGGCCCCAGCTGGGGTGGGTGAGGGAAGCAACCAATCTATGTGTCTCTCTCACATTGATGTTTCTCTCTCTCTCTCTCTCTCTCTCTCTCCCCTGTCCCCCCCCCCTCTAAAAATCAATGGGCAAAAAATATCCTTGGATGAGGATTAACACACACAAAAAAAAGGAATAGTGCGGTGAAGGCCTGGGCAGGAGTAGGGAGTGAGAGGAGGGGGTTAGTGGGGGAAAGAAGGGAACATCGGTAATACTTTCAACAATAAAGATTAATTTTTAAAGAGAGTGATGAAAGTTTTCGTTCCATCCCAGGCTGCGTGTGAGGGAAACATGCAAACCTGCCACGTCTCCACCCCCGACGGAGCCTCCGGTCCCGAGGACGCCCGCCGGGAGGACTTCACTGAGTGAGCGGCCGATGCTGTGTTTGGGGTCGATATTTTTCTATGGCTGGTTTCCCTCTCGGCGTATTTCAGGGCCCCGTAGCCCGTCTTCCTTTGCACACACAGGACGTGGCTGGCTCAGGTCCCCCTGCATTTCCCACCAGGATCCAGGTTCTGTGGCAGCGTCCAACCCCAGGTGCACAGGGACATGCCAGCCACGTGGGCGCAGCCTAGATGCCCTTTAGCTTCCAGGAAGGCAAAAGGGTTTCAGTGTGGAGACTGCAAGGCCAGCACCTGAGTCCTAAGGCTGAGGCAGCCGGTGGGGAAGGGCTGTGTGGGGTCACTGTGCTCCCTGTGCAGTCAGTGCGGACCGGGTCCCGGTGACATTGCTCATCACCCGTGGCCCCAGGGTTAGTGTCTGGAGTAGCATTTCAGCCTCTTGCAAAGAAGAAATCCAGAGTTGCGTTTGCAAAGGAAAGGGGACTAGACTTCTCCAGCGTCTTTCCCTTTTCCAAATCTAGTCCCCACCTTCCCGGCCTCTTCTCTCGGCTCCCGTTTTGCCCTAGAACATAGGACATTGGAACGTTTAGAACACTGACCGGGTAAAAAGGGTGATGAAATGTTGGGCAGTGATGTGTTGGGACCAGCATTTCCTCCTGGTTCTTGGCTGCCCTCTGCCATCCCCTCTGCCTCTTGCAGACCTAACACGCACACTTCCCATGGCCCGTCACCACCCAAACCTTGGAAAGTTAGGGCTCCGCCTGCAGCTCTCCACAGGTTAACTGCCCCCTGCCGCCGAGTCTCAACTCATTCCACGAGGGGTGGCAAGTTTTGAAAATCAGGCGTTTTCCTGACATTTGGGGGACTCACCAGCTCGCCTGCTAAGAAAGACTGTTGTCCTGACTCCCCCCAAGTCCGGCTTCTACCTAAGTCCCGGATGTCCCGTGAGGTCCCTCCGATCCGCGCACCAGCCTGTGATAGGGCATCAGCTCCCTTCCTGGGGCGCCTGCTGATCTAGAATGCCCCCCTCTTCTCCCCTCCTCTTCTCCCGAGGCTCCTGCACACGGCGAGCGCGCAGCTGGCGGAGTGGCACTTCCAGGGCGGCCGGGCGGTGCGGGCCGCCTGCTGCCACCTGGCCGTGGACGATGTGGAGGTACAGTGGGGGGGGGCATGTGAGGGGAAGGGCGGGTGTCTGAGGGACAGCAGGCTGACTCCTGAGTCATATCCGGGTCTGCATGCTTTCCCAGCCGAGGGGGACACTGCGCAGGCCCTGGGATCTGTCCTTCCATTTTAAATTTCTATCACAAGGTCCTCTTGTGACGAGCTGGCTCGAAGTATCTCGTTGTAGGTAAAGCAGTAGGTGGTAAAGGGGAAGTCGCTGCACTTGCACTCCATTCCTGACGTTTGAAAGATCTTATTTTACTTCAGTATGTTCTTCGCCAGTTATACTATTAGGGTGTTTCCCACTGGACCCACTAATGGAATCAGGGAAATCCTAAGTAAAGATGCAGACTTGGGGCTCCTGGCTCCTAGAACACTGCCTTCCCGGGATAATTGATACTCATCGTACACTACTTAGGAAGCTTTTAAGAATTGACACTTTTGCCCTGCCAGGTGGCTCAGTGGTTGAGCATTGACCTATGAACCAGGAGGTCACGGTTCAATCCCCAGTCAGGGCTCATGCCTGGGCTGAGGGCTTGATCCCCAGTGTAGGGCGTGCAGGAGGCAGCTGATCAGTGATTCGCTCTCATCATTGATGTTTCTCTCTCTCCCTCTCCCTTCCTTTCTGAAATCAATAAAAATATATTTAAAAAAATAATTTACCTTTTTTTCTGATAGAAACTGAAGGACATATTGAGGACATTGCAGAGAGACTGTTGTTAATTACAAAAATATGAGCAAGCGCTCTAAATTCTAAAATTCTAACCTTAGAGAGTATTTCCTGTGTGTCCCTTTATCAGCTTTTCCGCTTGAAATTGCAGTCACCCCTACGTCCTGTGTAGAAATAGTGCAGCAGGATTTTATAAGAATGCCTGAGTAGCAGCTAATGCACCCCGGTCTGCTTCCTGAGCTTGGCGGGAGCGGTGCCCCTGCCCCGTGTGCGTCTCTGACCCTGAGGACATTGTTTCTCCCTGGCAAGCTGGCCATGGCATCCCTGCTCCGCGGGAACGAGCTGGAGCTGGCGGTCTGCGTGGGCACGGTCCTGGGCGAGTCGGCAGCCCCAGCCACCCACTACGCCCTGGAATTGTTGGCCAGAAAATGCATGATGATCCCAATGTGGTAAGAGCTCCTAAATGCAAAGAATTGTATGGTGATGGAATGCATCGTTTCAGTCTTGCAAGTCGCATTTGATCATGTGTTGGGAGTATACAGGGTGTCCTGTTTTTTTCTTATTATCAGAAGCTAACATATAGTTGATACCTAAACTAGACAAGGACAGTACAAAAAGAAAAACTGCCAGAGAATCTCACTCATGAACATGGAAGCAAAAGTCTGGAACCAAATACTTAGCTAGCCAAAGTCAGGCCTATATAAAAGGATCAAGGGTAACTTGCCTTTATACCAGAGAAATAAAGTTGGATAACTTTAGAAATACAATTAATATAATTTATCACATTAATGGAATAACGTAGAAAAATCATATTATTGTCAGAAAGATACAGAAAGTCATTTGATAACAGTCAGTATTGGTATATAATAATAGTATTAAAATCTCTTGCCCTAACTGGTTTGGCTCAGTGGATAGAGCGTCGGCCTGTGGACTGAAAGGTCCCAGGTTCTATTCCGGTCAAGGGCATGAACCTTGGTTGCAGGCACATCCCCAGTAGGGGGTGTGCAGGAGGCAGCTGATGGATGTTTCTAACTCTCTATCCCTCTCCCTTCCTCTCTGTAAAAAATCAATAAAATATATATATTTAAAAAGGAAATCTACTTAAAATCGCTTAAACTAGGAATAAAAAGAAATGTACTTAATCTGGTAATGAATACTTATAAAAACCTACCACAGACATTCTTTGTATTGGTCAAATATCAGAAAGTATCTTTTTTGAGAGCAGGGTCTCCTTTTTTAATAAAAGGTAAGATTGTGAGAGGAAAGGGGGGTGTGAGAATGAAGTAACGGTTGGGTAATGAAATCTACCGTGGCCCATCCTGAAGTAGCCCAGCTGTAATTCCATAGAACTCCCAGCCCATAAAGCATCAGGAGACAGTAATGTGTGCATCTTAAGATTATCAGAACCACACATTTCCACATGTCAAATTCTGCATCCCTGCTCCTCCTTGTCAGATCCTGTGTCTTGGTTTAAGGTTTGGAAAATAAGGTCACTTTTCCAATGGAGAGTAATAACTAAGGTGGTTTACCGGGGACTTGGCACAGGCCATTGCCCCGAACTCGGCAACGCTTTCAGGGACAGACCCTGGGAAGTGCCGGGGGCGACCTGGGCTTCCTGGTCCAGTGGGTTCCGTCCTCAGGGCCGACTGCCCTTCATTAGGGAGGGACTTTAGGAAAGATGCGGGGGATGCTGTCACTCAGAAGCTCTGTGTTGAGTAAAGATGGTTTTAGACTTTAATCTTCTCTCTCACCAAGTTACTTAGCACCTTGAGACGTTCTGGATTAGCTTGTTTGCTAGGACTATGACCTCTCCCCGCTGTACACCCCTTGCACACACGCCACTCTTAAGATGAGCTCTCAGATTCGCCTCGGGCCTCAGTGCGTGGTCAGAGCCAGGATTCAAGGCCACATGAATGGTTTCCAAAGCGTGCACTCTTACCTAGGGTCTCAGTCAGTTACGGCTGCTGTAACAAACACACCGGCAGCTTGTAGACAACAGAAATGCATTTCTCATGGTTCTGGAAGCTGAGACCTTCAAGATCCAGGCACTTGTGGATTAGGTGTCCATGGAGCCGGCCTCCTGGTTAACAGTTGGCATCTTCCACTGTGTCCCATGGGGAGGGGGGCTCTCTGTGGCCTCGTCTGTGAGGGCACCAGCCCTGTTCATGCCGGCTCTGCCCTCCTGACCTGAGCACCTTCCAAGGCCTCACCTCCAAGTACCATCTCCTTGAGGGTTTGGTTTCCACGCGTGAGTTTGGGGGCACACACATGCAGACTGCAGCAGCCATCACACAGTTCCGCCCCCTGTGGGGGCTGACTCAGGCAACACTGTCCACTCTCCTTTCCGCCCGCACGTGGGAGCTCTAGAGTGAGCCGGGCATCCCAGAGCTGTTCTTCGTGACCCATATGGCGCGGGGGTAGGAGAGCCTCTTCCCCCCA